ATAAAGTTTTATTATTATTAATAAATACAACCAAATCCAAAATCCGCAACTTCTTTTCAGTTAGCTCCAATGTATGAATTAAGCATACTCTCAAATCTTCCCTGAATTCTTTTTTTTATTAGAATTTTATTAATTTTTATATAGATTACAACAAAAGAGTGAGACCAATAAAGTATAGGAAAGCGAGGAAATAAAGAAAAAAAGAGAAAAAAGAAGAAACAAAAAAGTATACTAAAAGCCCAAATAACCCCTAAAAAAATTCTACAAAAATACACAAAAAACACAAAAAAAGAAAAACAAAAAAATTACTTCCATTCCATCTTCTTGGATCATATCTTCTTATTATTCAAAAATATAAAATAAGTTCAAAAAGAAATTGTCTCTCTTGTTTCTTATTTTCCCAAATTGTCCAGATATTCATGGAGATTATCCCAATTCGTTCTTCTTAGTATCATACCTGTATTTTTCTTCAACAAAAAAGTCAATTCATCCATGTCCTTTATTTCTCTGATTTTTTCCACCCATTCCTGTACGGGTGGTACTGAGTCTTGCTTCCATTCTCTAGCAAAAACAATTCTAGCGGCAGTCGTCATATATGTAAAAGGTTTATCCTCTTATTCCGTCAGTTGTAGCTCTAAATCTGTAAAACCTAACAAATAATACTCCGGTTTTCTTATAAATGTTCTTTTTAAAATCTTTTGTGTCTCTTCATGAATTACCCTCCAAAACTTTACTGCTTCTTTGCAAGTCCACCACATATGGTAGAAGGAGCCAACCTGTTCCAGGCATTTCCAACACTTATCAGAAACTGTTTTATACATTTTAGCAAATTGTTTCGGTGTGGTATACCATCTGTGGAACATTTTTATCCAATTTTCTTTTAAATCCATTGCGTATGTATATTTTAATTTTTCATTAAGTGAACACGTTAAAAATCATACAGAAGAAAAATGGTGGTAATATTTGAAATCATATCCTTACAACATTGTCCAAAATGTCAGTTAAAATGATATTGAAGGATTTCAGTGCAGGCAGAGGTCACTCCACTTACTGGACATATGTTGTATTTGGGACAAAGAGCAATAAAAGACAGGTGATACAATTTAGCTTTTGCTAAGGATCATATTGCAAACATGTTGGATAATGGAGTGCACCAAAGAACTAAACAAATATATCAACCTGTGCTTTATAGATTTAAAGAAACCTTTGATTGTATGAATCACATAGATGAGGAAAAACTATGGAACACGCTTAAAGAAATCAGAGTGCCGCATTTGATTCCCTTGACGGGAAACCTGTACTCAGAACAAAAGGCTATTCTCAGAGCAAAATGAGAAATGATGTGGTCTCCTATTGGCAAGGGGTCAGGCACCCTAGCTGTTTAACTTGGAAGTATCTCATTCATAGTGATATTGAGAAATCAGACTCCCAGTTACCAATTATATGAAGTGTATAAAGTGAGTAAGACCTTTGGGGCATTCAGTGAGCACGCTTTTAGAATCAAAGAGTTGGAAGAGACCTCATGGGCCATCCAGTCCAACCCCCTGCCAAGAAGCAGGAATATTGCATTCAAATCACCCCAGACAGATGGCCATCCAGCCTCTGTTTATATAATAATGATAATAACAGCAATGATATTAGTCTTTATAATAATTATCAGTTTTTTGGGGGGAATAATAATAATAACAATAACACTTTATTTGTACCCCGCTACCATCTCCCCAAGGGACTCTGGTGCGGCTTACATGAGGCCGAGCCCAAACACAACAATACAAGCAATAATAACAACAATACAAGCAATTAAAAACATAAACAATAAAATACACAAAATTATCAAGACAACACACAATTAAAAACAGTGGGAAGGCCAAATGTAGAGTTAAAATTGGAAATAATGCTGGGACATGGACGAAAGGTGATACTGGTGTTTGTGGAAGGGCATACGAGCAGACCTAAAGAAATGTAAAGTGCTTTGGAGGACAAAGTGCTATGGGATCATTATTCCGGGAAGGCACACTGGAACAGCCACGTCTTCAAGCTCCTCCTGAAGACTGCCAGAGTTGGGGCCTGTCTGATGTCTTTAGGGAGTGAGTTCCAGAGTCGAGGGGCCACCACCGAAAAGGCCCTCTCTCTCGTCCCCACCAATCACACCTGCGATGCTGGTGGGATCGAGAGCAGGGCCTCTCCGGATGATCGAAGGGATCGTGTGGGTTCGTATACAGAGATGCGGTCACGCAGGTAGGCGGGTCCCAAACCGTTCAGGGCTTTGTAGGTAAGAACCTGCACCTTGAATTGGGTCCAGAAAATGAATGGCAACCAGTGGAGCTCCTTGAACAGGAGGGTTAACCGCTCCCTGTAAGGAGCCCCAGTTAACAACCTGGCTGCCGCCCGTTGGATCATCTGAAATTTCCGGGCCGTTTTCAAGGGCAGCCCCACGTAGAGTGCATTGCAGTAATCCAGTCTAGAGGTGACTAAGGCGTGGACCACTTTGGCCAGATCCGCCTTCCCGAGGTACCCCATTCATTTCCTTCCTATCTATCTCTTCATTCCAACCATTCAATAATAATAATAAAACTTTATTTATACTCTGCCACCATCTCCCTGATGGGGACTCAGGGCGACTAACATGAGGCCAAGCCCAAACAACAAATTACAACAGAGTAAAACCGAAAATGCAAACCAAAAATGCAAACAATAAACGACAACATCATAATTACATAAAACACGTGGATACATAACAATGTAAAATTACAATAAGCACAGTCATAGTGACAATGGGAGGGCTACATGTAATGGATTAAAAGAAAAACTAATTAAAAACTAATTAGAAACTTGGGTGAGATAAAAGGAGAAACAGGTTATTTGCGGAGGAGGGCTTATTATAGCAGGGATTGTGGGATCAAGCTTTCCCACGGGGGCGGGGGGGATGGGACGGGACGGACGGACGGACGGGACGTATACTCCAATGACAAAACGTTGAGGCTAAGCAATAGTGTGAAGTTATATACCTACTCACCAAAGGTGCAGCGGAAGAACAAGTTTTAAGGTTCTTTTTAAAGGTTTCTAGGGTAGGGGCTTTCCTAATCTCTCCAGGTAGTGAGTTCCAGAATCGGGAGGTCACAGAGGAAAAGCTCTCTCCCTTGTACTTACAAAGCGAGCTTGTGAAACTGGAAGGGGTGAAAGAAGGGCCTCCCCAGAAGGGCCCGAGTTGGTTCATTACCATCCTATTTCTAATCTGCCATTCTTAGTTAAGATGATAGAGCGGACTGTACTGGGACAATTGCAACAATTCCTGGATGACACAGCTGGACTGGACTCTTCTCCAGTCAGGTTTTTGCCGGGGCCATGGGACGGAGACAGTCCTGGTTGCCATTACAGATGAACTCCGTCGCCAGCCTGACAACGGTGGATCCGCGCTATTGGTACTTCTCGACCTTACCACATCATTTGACACCGTCGACTACGATCTAATGATTCACCTTCTTGCCATGTCCGGAGTTCGCGGTCAGACCCTTAATTGGTTCAACTCATTTCTCCGGAACCGGAGTCAACGCGTGGAGTACATTGATCAAGTCTCCGATAGATCCCCCCTCCTATGTGGAGTCCCCCAAGGTGCAATTCTCTTCTCTTCAAAATCTACGTTAGACCCCTTGCTAGTTTGGCTCCGAGTTTCGGTCTGGACTGCTATCAATATGCAGATGATACCGAACTCCTTCTATGCCTGGAGCAACGTCAATTCCAGACAATTTCACCCAATGTCTGGAGGCTCTGTCGAACTGGCTACGTACTAGCAGACTGAAGGTGAACCTGAAGAAGACTGAGATTCTCTGGCATGGCCGCCCGGCAGGTCTGACTCATCCGTTACCCATCTTTGATGATGCCGCCCTATCTCCATCAACCACTGTTAAGAGCTTAGGTGTCGTCCTGGATTCGCAACTGACAATGGAAGCTCAGGTCGCTGCTGCCAGCATACAGGCCTTTTTCCATCTACGACAAGTGAGGCAATTGGCACCCTACCTATCTGACGAGGCTCTTGCAACTGTCATCCATGCCACGGTCACATCTAGGCTGGACTATTGCAACGCCCTGTATGTTGGCCTTCCTATGTCTACGACCTGAAAGCTCTGTATTGTTCAGAATGCGGCAGCCAGGTTACTCACAAGAACGCCCATGAAATGCCATATAACACAGGTGCTGCAACATTTACATTGGCTTCCAATTGAGTACTGTGGCCTGTATAAGATGTTAGTTCTGACCTTTAAAATTACTGCCGGGGTCCATCGTACCTTAGGGACCGCCTCTCCTTCTCCCATCATCGACCAGCCCATCGTGACTTACTCTATATACCGGGTCCTAGAGAAGTGCACTTGGAAAGTACCAGACGCAGGGCTTTTTCTATTTCTGCCCCTGCCTTATGGAATTCCTTGCCGCCCTATATGAGAGCCATGCGTGACTTAGGGCCTTTTACTCTAGCACTTAAGACACTTTACTAGAGCATTCGATCTCTGTTCATTTTTAATTTCTGTATGTATTTATTTTATCTTTTACAATTTGGCTGTAAATCGCCTAGAGCATTCTCGGATGGAGGGCGATTAATAAGTAATTAAATATGATGATAATGATGATGAATGGAGGGAGGGAGATATGGTCCTTCTGAACCTCCGGTCTTCTTAGAGGCATGGTCATGAGATGGAGCTGGGGAAGGACGGGCAAGGCATGAGGCTACAGGAACCCAGGTCTTTGACTGGGCCTAACTCCTTGCTTGCCTCCTTCCCTCCCTCCCCTGGGCCTGCAATCCCTCCAATTTCTATAAGCCCCTCACAATGAACTGAGAGGAGAGTACACAATGAATTTGAATTAGAGTTCCAGGGTCTGTCTCCTGTTCCTCCTTGATATGGTTGGGAATGATCTATTTCCCATGCCCTGAACCAGCCTTACCCATACAGCATCCATTGATATGGTCATCACCTTTAAGCACCCATTGTGTACTTTGAACTAACCCCATTGTGTCCACCAGAGCCCAACCATTCAGGTTATCATGGACTTATTGATGATTTCCACACAACATTCCTTTCTGACAGTGCCTCTCTTGGAGTCAGATCAATATATGGTGCCACCATGAAGAGCCAACCAGTGATGAAGTTGGACGGAGTCCTGAGCCACTCAGGATGCAGATCCTACTGGGACAATTTCTGAACCAATCAGGAGCTGGTGCAAGTTTCTTGAATAGCTGTGAAATGAAATAAAAATGTTATGTACAAGGGGTATTTTTTAAGTAAGGTCCGTTTTGTTGTAGACACTAGTAGTTCGTGCGCATACCGCAACGAGCGCATGCGTCGTGTACCGGCATGCCTCGGGAACAACTGTGCTCAGTTTCCGCTCTGTAGCTAACCTGTACGGTTCTGTTCTGTGCTTTAAAAATGTTTAAGACTATCAACTCACCCACCGCATGTGAGGTTCGCTCAGTGATACGGTTTTTGTCAGCAAGGAACCTGCCTGCTGCAGAAATTCATCGGGGGTGAGTTGATAGTCTTAAACATTTTTAAAGCACAGAACAGAACCGTACAGGTTAGCTACAGAGCGGAAACTGAGCACAGTTGTTCCCGAGGCATGCCGGTACACGACGTATGCACTCGTTGCGGTATGCGCGCGAACTACTAGTGTTTACAACAAAACGGACCTTACTTAAAAAATACCCCTTGTATTTGCAACTGTGGTATGTCATTACTTTAGAGTACTTTCTCTGCTGACAACCTCTCTGTGTCATCTTCTGGAAAGCTAGACGTGCAGGGCCCCTGAGCCTCTGGTTTTAGTGGAGCTAAAACCACTTAACAATAGGGTCACAATTTCAAAGTCAACTTGGCAGCAGTCAACAGCAACAAATGCTTGTAATGATTTTATAGTCTTTTAAATGTGTTGCTTTATTGGGATAATTTTGGTTGTGTTTTAAAATTTTATAATATTTAGCTGATTCTGGATCCCACTTCAGAAGAAAAATGGTATCTAACTGAAATAAAATACTGATAAAAAATACCAAAAAGGTCAAAAACAGTATCCACCTTCACATGGAAGATGGTTTGTCAACTAAATATCTGCAGCCAAATTTATTTATTTATTTATTTATTTATTTTATTTGGGGTGCTTCTACCCCACCCTTCTCAACCACCTGGGGGGGGGGGGACTCAGGGAAGCTTACAAAAGGCACAATTCGATGCTTAACAATTCACAAAATACAATACAATATACAATACACAAATTTACCATATAATGTCACAGTTATAAATAATTAAAACAATCAAACAGTATACTAGCAGCAATAAAAACATCTTGTGGTCAATGTTCACCAATTCCAAGTCCGTAAACCATCTAGCATCGTCATTGTCCTTTCCTACTCTGGTTATTATTGGTTGTCTTTGTCCATCTGCCAGTTTACCCGAAGGCCTGGTCCCACATCCAGGTTTTTAGCTTCCTTCTGAGGGAGAGGAGGGATGTTGATGTCCTAATTTCCCCAGGGAGCGCATTCCACAGGTGAGGGGCCACCACCGAGAAGGCCCTGTCCTTCGTCCCCACCAGTCTCGCTTGTGATAAAGGTGGGGCCGAGAGCAGGGCCCCCTCAGCAGATCTTAAACTCCAAGGTGGGACATAGAAGGAGATACGTTTGGACAGGTACGCTGGACTGGAGCCGTAAAGGGTTTTGTAGGTCAAAACCAGCACTTTGAACTGGATCGGCAGCCAGTGGAGCTGACATAGCAGGGGGGTGGTATGCTCCCTGTATGACGCTCCGGTGAGTAATCTATCCGCCGCCCGTTGGACTAATTGAAGTTTCCGAACAGTCTTCAAAGGCAACCCCATGTAGAGCGTGTTGCAGCAATCTATTCAGGATGTAACAAGAGCGTGGACCACCCTGGCCAGATCTGACTTCCCAAGGTACGGGCGCAGCTGGTGCACAAGTTTTAATTGTGCAAAAGCTCTCCCGGCCACCACCGAGACCTGGGGTTCCAGGCTCAGTGATGAGTTCAGGATCACTCCCAAGCTGCGAACCTGCGTCTTCAGGGGGAGTGTAACCCCGTCTGAATGAAAGAAGTGTGAATTGGTTGAGTGTGATGCTTATTAGAATTCCATCCAATGTTTGCTTTCTTTTTGTTCTTTGCCCATATGAAATATAACCCTCTTTCCACCCTGCTTACTGCAAACACAATTGGAAGGATAGTGTCTCAGCATGTAGTAAATTACCATCATAGCATCAGATCTGAAAAGCCTCTCTTAAAATATGCTTTCATCTATAAACAGTTTCTTGAAAGCTAAAAATTTACATTTCTAGATGCCCGTGTAGCTTCCTTTAAAAAAATAAAACAAAACCAGAGCATAATTTCCCCTGTGCACTTGTCTTTCCTTTTCAGCAGATGGCAGTGTGGATAAGCTCAGGGCCCTTCCACAAAGCCATATAACCCAGAGTATCAAGGCAGAAAATCCCACAATATCTACTTTGAACTGGGTTATCTGAGTCCACACTGCCCTATATTCCAGTTCAAGGCAGATAATGTGGGATTTTATTCAGCTGTGTGGAAGGAGCCTGTAACAACATAGGTTAATTGGAGCAAACTGGTTGTTTTTAATCATCATTATTATTCATTTCAAAAGCCGGGACCTCCCCACCACAATTGATACAGTGAGAGAACTTGAGACTCCGTGGCCACTTGCTGGGCCCATCCTCGACCGGTTCATCCCGCTGGATGCAGGGGCTGTCAATAGGCTCATAGCTGCAGCTAGACCGACCACTTGCTCCCTCAATTCGTGTCCCTCTTGGTTGGTGAAATCCTGCTTGGAGGGATTACGTGACCCTCTGTTGAAGATTATAAACAGCTCCCTTGAGCAAGGAGTTTTTCCAGTGGGTTTAAAAGAGGCGGTGGTCTCTCCCCTGCTGAAGAAACCAGACTTAGATTGTTCGGTTCCCTCCAGTTACCGCCCAGTTTCGAATCTCTCGTTCCTGGGCAAGGTGATTGAGAGGGCAGCAGCAGAGCAGTTGCAGCAATTCCTAGACGACACAGCCGGACTAGATCCCTTCCAGTCCGGCTTCCGTGCGGGGCATGGGACAGAGACTGTGCTGGTCTCCATCACGGATCACCTTCGATGCCAGCTTGACCAGGGCGGGTCAGCGCTGCTTGTGTTATTGGATCTCACAGCAGCATTTGACACAATCTTTTGATCCACCGCCTCGCTATTGCTGGAGTCAGGGGGACAGCTTTAAACTGGCTGTCCTCCTTTCTTCACAACCGTGGACAGTGAGTGGAGAGGGGAGGCCTGGTCTCTGAGAGGTCCCCTCTATCTTGTGGGGTTCCTCAGGGGGCCATTCTCTCCCCTCTGTTGTTTAACATCTATATGCGACCACTTGCTCAGCTGGTTCGAGGTTTTGGGCTTGAGTGTTATCAGTACGCCGATGACACTCAGCTGGTGCTGAAGATGGAAGGCCAACCGGACTCTGTACCCGATTATTTCCATCAGTGCCTTGAGGCCGTTACTGGATGGCTGCGTGCCAGCAGGTTGAGGGTGAATCCAGCAAAGACGGAGATCCTATGGCTGGGTCAACCGGGCAGTGGGGATAGCCAGCTGCCTACCCCGGATGGCGAGGCATTACGCCTTTCATCATTGGTAAAGAGTCTGGGAGTCCTTTTGGACCCTCTGCTGACGATGGAGGCCCAGGTCTCTGCCGTTAGCAGAACCGCTTTTTTTCATCTGTGGCAGGCTAGACAGCTGGCTCCCTACCTGTCCAGGGACGACCTAGCTACGGTGATCCAGGCCACGGTCATCTCAAGACTGGACTACTGTAACGCCCTCTACATTGGCCTTCCTCTGTCGGTGATCCGGAAGCTCAAGTTGGTACAAAATGCAGCTGCTCGGCTTCTTGTGGGAATTCCGATGAGATGCCACATAACACCAATCTTACGGCAGCTGCATTGGTTACCAATTGAGCACCGGATCACTTTCAAAGTGATGGTACTTACCTTTAAGGCCTTGCATGGTCTGGGGCCGATGTACCTGAGGGACCGCCTCACCCCCTACCAACCCCAGAGATCCCTCCGTTCTGAGGACCAAGATTTTGGAAATTCCCAATGTCAAGACCTTGCGTCTAACAGCAACCAGACGCAGAGCCTTTACAGCAGTGGCACCATCACTCTGGAATACTCTGCCACCTGAAGTCCATGCCTTGCGGGACTTATCAGCTCTCTGCAGGGCATGTAAGACATACCGGTATCTGTTTTGACAGGCCTTTGATCTTTGATATTGCTGTTTTTAAATTGTTTTAAAATTGTTTTAAATTGTTTTTAAATTGTGTTAGATTTTAGCCTGTTCTTGTAAGCCGCTCCGAGCTCCAGGGGAGTGGCGGCATATAAGTTTGAATTATAAATAAATAAATAAATAAATAAATGACATCACAAAACATACAAAGTAAAAACGACATAACCATAAGATTAACAAAACAATATAAGCATAAAAATTGTCGCCATAACAATTGTCGCCATATATTAAAAGTAATCCTGCCTGTTCAAAGCAATTAAAAAATTTAAAAGGCCGGGCCAAGATTTGTGCAAGCAGCGAGAATATCTTTGGCAAAATTTTGGAAGCAGGAAGACATCCCTACCATTGAAGAATGGTTAGGGAAAGTAAGAGAAATAAGAGAAATGGATGAACTAACTTTTTTCTTGAAAAAGAATACCGGGAATCCGATAAAGAGGACAGATTGGACTCTATATGAAAACTACGAAAAAGAAAGAAGTAAATAAGAGGAATATTTTGATGTGGATACAATGGGAACATTACTGAGGACACAACACCTGATGGAGAGATGGAAGTCAATTTTTATCTTATTTTTTTCTAATTTTTGTCTTTATTTTTTGTGTTTTTTGTATTTTATTTTTTACTGCTTTTTTCTTTTTTTACTCATGGGTTTTTTCTTTTGATTTTTTGTGGACTTGGGGGAAGGGGGGTATTTTTCTATCTTTTCCT